AAAAAAAAAAAAGATAGTCTCAACTTATAACTCACAGCAACCTCAAACTCTTGGGTTCAAGCAATCCTCTTGCCTCAGCTTCCCAAGTAGGTAGGACTACAGATGCCAGCTCCAATGCCCAGCTATTTTGAGAGATGGGAGCGGCGGGGCCGGGGTTTGTCTCACTCTTAGCTCAGGCAATCCACAGGCCTCAGCTTCCCAAAGTGCTAGGCTTACACATGTGAGCCACTGCACTCAACCCTCCAACATGGTTCCTAACAGCAAAACTCAAATCCTGCCTGCTCAAGGACTGGCTGTCAGCTGCCTCAGTTTCTTCCACTGTATTTTTTTTCTTCTTTTGATAGAGAATAAAGACTATAAATGCCAGAATCTCACTCTGTTGCCCTGAGTAACATGGTGTCAGCCTAGCAAACTCCTGAGCTCAAGCGACCATCCTGCCTCAGCCTTCCAGAGTGCTAGGATTATAGGTGTGAGCCACTGTGACCAGCCTGGCCTTTGGCCCCTCGGATGTGCCACGTTCCCACTACCTCTACTGGGGTGCTCTCCATACCCAGCTTTGCCAGCTGACTTCTAGCTATCTTTAACTCTTCAGAGAAACTTCTCACCACTTCTCACACTGATCTGATAAAGCTAGAAGATACCCAGATCCACTGGTACGTTCAAGGCCTGTGTCTGTAGGGCCCGAGAGAGGTGACCAGCAAGTGTTAAAGAATTGAGGCCTTGGGATGCAGAATTCAGTGTAAGCACCCATGTGACAGCTCATGGTTGTCACATGAGAGAGTTCAGACCTGAGCTGTGGGCTTGGCACAACCAGGACTCCTTGTACTTATACCCCGACTCGCCAACTTCCAGTTTAGCAGAAATGTCACTTTACACACTCAAGCTACCTATGTACTTGGAAGCTGCTGCTCTGGACTCTGGGGACAGTGGACACAAGGCCCTGCCCTTGCCCTTAGGGAACTTGTCCAGGGTCGCGCTGCCATCAGTGGAAAAGTGGAGCTCATCTGGCCCTTCTGAGTGGGGCTTAGCTTCCTGAGGCCTCTGAAGGTTGTGGACCAATCCCTGGCCCATGGTCACTGCTTAGTGGGTCTCGCAGCCTTTAGGGGCAATATACCTCCTTCCTTGTGGGGTCTTCTAGCTGAGGGAGGAGAAAAAGGCCTGTCTGCTGTTCCCCCATTTCTGTAGTCCAGGACCATGGATGAGAATATGCCAGCCGGTGGTGGCAGAACAGACCCGCTCCCACCCAGGAAGCCCAGCCCACACCCCTCACCAGGTCAGGGAAGTACGGCTTTGCAAAGTGCTTCCGAATCTGCTGCTCTGGGGGGACATTGGCCAGCTGCGCCAGGCAGAAGAGCTGGGGTATGTCGATGATGTCCTTTTCCACCAGGCCCAGCTCTGTCTTCAGGATGTCACGGTTCAGTTGAATACACTTCTGGGGTGGGGGGGGGAGGAAGGGGCCAGGGGAGTAGTGGCTCCTCAGCAATAGAGAGGCTCCCTTCCCCCTTTGGGGGCTTGAGAGTCTCCCTTCCCCCAACACCGATGGGCATGACCTGAAGTAGCCACCAACTCTCCACTCGCCCTGTGGGCCTGGAGCCTCAAAGGCCAGGCCAGCCTCCTGACACCAGAGGCAGCCTCACAGGAGGAAGCAGGGCCGGCCACCAAGGTCTTGAGACTGGGATCCCACAGCTAGTCCGTGTTGGGGTGGCCAGTAGTCCTGAGCAAGGCCATTTTCCTGCCCCAACCTGCTGAGCCAAACATCTTGATGGTACCAGACTTGTGCTCACTACACCTAGGCTGCCCATTCCCATGGGCTCAGAGGCTGTCTCGGCTCCATGTCCAGCCAGTGTCCTTCCCTGTTCTTGCTAAGGTCAGGGTGCCAGTACAGTGTGGCACAGAACACTCCTTGGCTGGGAATCATAAGGACCCAGTGAGCAAAGCAGTTTTGCTCTGACCATGCAAACTTGAGCAAGGAATTGTCCTTCTCTGGGCTTTAGTTTCCCCTTCTACAGTCAGATGACTTCAATTCTGGGGACTCTGCTTCTCACAGCCCATGATTCATACTCTAAGAGGTCTCCAAAGGCCCAGTGACCCTGAATACCATCATGGCTGCTACCATGGGTCACTTTTTTTTTTTTTTTTGAGACAGCCTCAAGCTATCCCCCTAGGTAGAGTGCTGTGGCATCACAGCTCACAGCAACCTCCAACTCCTGGGCTCAAGCGAGTCTCCTGCCCAAGACTTCCAAGTAGCTGGGACTACAGGCACCCGCCACAACACCTGGCTATTTTTTGGTTGCAGCCGTCATTGTTGTTTGGTGGGTCTGGGCTGGATTCGAACCTGCCACCTTAGGTGTATGTGGCTGGCGCCTTAGCCACTTGAGCCATAGGTGCCGAGCCGTCATGGGCCACTTCATCTCAGGTGCACTGAGAAGGCCCTGGGCTGAGTCTGATCCTCAGCTTCTCAGGAATGGGGACAGTCCTCTTCAAGGAGGCTGCTGAGCTCTGTCACTGTCCCACATGGAGTAGACACTGGACAGTTGAGCAGCATGAGCAGTAGGCAAAGCATGAACTTAGGAGTCACGCTTGGGTCCAGATTCAGTTCCAACCAATGGGCCAAGCTAGTGGCTGTACTCCGAGCCTCATGACCCTCACGTATAAGCCGGGTTTTATGTTCTCTGTCTGCCTCCAGGATTTTAGTAAAGTATCTTGTGCCATGCTCAGGCCACGGTAGGTGCTCTGTTAGGAAGCTGTCTAGGTTGTCAGGGCCTTTCTACTTGGAGAGAGCACCAGGGGGGGTGTCACAACAGGAACTCATTCTAAGCGTATCTGAAACTGCTGAGCCTCTGGAATCTCTGCCAGAAACTTAAACTCCTTGTCCCTCTGTTTCCCCAAGCTGGAATCCAGCTGGCCCCTAGCCCTTCATCTGGGCCTGTGGCAGGACCTAGAGCAGAGGGCCGCTGCCCCTGGCCCCAGCCCTAACTAGGAACAGTGGGGACCCTTCCATGGGTCTTGCGCAGTCTCAGCCCTACCTCCACGTATTCATTCTGCTTTCTCAGATTTTCATCAGCAAGCAGTTGATCGATAGTCTTGAATTCCCTTCCTGTGGGAAAAAGAGAGGGCGGGCAAGCTTCAGGGGAGGAAGCAGGTGCTGCTGTCCAGAGGTCGGGCAGACCCAGCCCTGGCACGGTCAACTGGGTATCTTCTTAGGCCAGTGACTGCTGAGTAGCCTCACTCCAGAGACACCTACCTCTTCCCTGCTCAGTATAACATCTGAGGACTGACTAGGATCTGAACTAGAAAACCCCAGTAGGACTCTTATTACCACCTGCCACTCTATCCTTGGGGTGGGGGGTGGGGGCAGTAGGCTATGCTAGGCTCTGAGAGGTGCCTAGAGCACATCAGTGTGACAACTTCGGCCCCTGTTTAACTCTCAGCACGGTAGAGTCTGTGTAGTCTAGCTACTTTCTGCCTGTGACCTTGACCAGGTCACACTAACTTTGTTCTTAGTTGCCTGATCTGTGGGACAAGGATGCCCAATTTAGCCATCAGCTCTGAGGTGACCTTCTTTGGCACGGGGTACATGCTCATGCATGTCACCTTCCACACAGTGCTTCTGGGACCAGGAATCTCCTGGGCCCCACCCTGAGGGTCTGAAGAGAATGGAGAGCTCCCAGTTGGCCTGGAGACTGTTGGCCCTCAGACCACGCTTTGGGTGTTGAGAACTTCCTAACACCCTGGGCCATCTGAGGAAGAGTCCCTTTGTGTTCTCATGGCATTTAGGTCAAAAGGGCCATGACTGCAGCCACACCACCTCTGCTGGTCTGCCTGCGTCTCCTTAGGGGTGCCCAGTGCCCAGGTATCCGACCCAACACCCCCTGGATAAGGCCAGACAATGGCATTGTTGGCATCAGTTTTGCCCCCACCTGAGGCCATCCATGTGCTGAATTGGTCTCTTACAGAAAGGTTCTGGCAGCCTCTCAGCTGTCCCAGAGCATCTAGTCTGCCTGTGTTGTCCTCGTACCCAGAATAGCCCAGAAATAAAAGATACAAAAGCCGCTGGCACTACCACACGGTATCTCCCTGAGATCCTTTCTACCAAGAGCAATAGTAGAAAACGCTGCCTGGAAAGAGCCCCTGGGGAAGCAGGGACCCAGCCCCGGCCTACCCTGGGGCTCCCTTACCGTTAGAAAGGAGCTGATCCTGTCTGACCTCGTTAAACAGCAGCGCGTTGCCGTAGCCTTGCCTCTGCTTCTCTTGGAAGAGTTTATAGCAGGCCCTGGGGCTGGCCAGGAGCAGCTGGAAGCCCTGGAAAGAGACTGGGGTCACAGGCTAGCTTCTTCCTAAGGAGCTGCCAAGGGTCCCCAATAGATGGGGTAGGGGATGTGGTCAGGTGTGCCTTCTCCAGCCCCCACCACACACCTTTCTGCCTTCACTCTTGTCGTCTGTGGGGACAAAACACATGAACTCATCCATGTGGCCGCTCATTAGCCAGTCTGAGTAGAGCTCCACTGGAGCCTGCACCTGCTGGGCACAGAGGAAGTCTCGGAGGGTGTTACTCATGGCCCGGCCCTCCTCGCTGGAAGGAAGATGAAGAGAACAGCCCTTAAGCCGATGTGGCCCAGATTGGGCACCTGCCACTTGGCAAGTGTCAGGCTCCTTCCAGGTAGCTGGCCCCCCTCTGATGGCTGGGTAGAATTGACCAGTCCATGGAGGGTAGGATCCCTCCCTCTGAACTCACTCAGGATAGAGCCAAGTGATACTAGGTAGACTGAACCCTGGATGCAGTCTTGTTCAGATCTACGATCATAAAGTCCAAGCACATGTTTTGTGGAAATAACATCCTGTTGGGCCAACAGGCAGCTCAATCTCACTTATTTCAATTAGAGGCCAAGAATCAAAGGTAGAAAAAGCAAACTGCTTTGTCTCCTACATGAATCAAGTATCCTCATCACAATTTAAGAAGTGGCCCAGAGTGCATGGCCTGCTGAAGTCCTGAGAACAGGTGGAACCAGGTTAAGTTACCAGCATCCCTTTGATTTTAAAGACATCTGACCACCATCTGGTCTCTTGGCTCACCTGGGGTAAAAGCTGCCACCAATGAGGATCCTGCCTAGGGGGTATTCTTTCCCTTGGACCTTGACAGGCGGAGACACTGTCAGGTTCCCAATGGAATCCATGCTGGCCACCCTCTGGTCCTGGGTATAATACGGGATCACGTAGCCAACACCAGGGCTCTGGAAGGAGAGTCAGCCAGAGTGGGGGCTTCAAAAGGAAAGGCCTTGAGCCCCAGTCTTATCCCTAATCCAGAATCTCAGGTAGACATCCATATCCCTCCCCTCCGAGGCCATCTGGACCTCTCTTTTGGTGTCATGTCCAGAAAGGTACCAGGCTTGAGTGATGGGACCAGGTTGAGATCAGCCAAACCAAGCTCCATACCAGTGAGTATTTCATGGGGAAATCTTCAAGATCGGTGGCCCGAGGGGTGTCAAGAACCAAGGACGTGGTCTTGTGGGGAGCCTGGGTATAGCAGAAGGCCATTTCATTCTGGAGGAGACAGAATACGAATTGGGAAGTTGCTTCTCCCTAGCCCGCCACCCACCACTGCTCTCCTGTGTCTGGCTTGGCAGCCACAGTTCCCTGGACCTAGGCCACCTCTAGAGAGGATACAACTCCCAGTCTTCAACCCTACTGAGATGTCACCTCTTAAGGGAATTCTGACCCCTTTCTCCTAGTCTTCAGGTTTAGGACTTGAGTCATTCAGATTCTCCCTTTTCCTCTGCTCCCTATCCTTTAACAAGTCTCATTAGCCTTGTCTTAAATGCATTGAGAATCAACTCACCTCCGGTACCACCCAGGAAGCCACCATGCTGGCTTCCCTACACTGCACGATGCCTTCCAGTTTGTTCTACACTCGCCCCATCCTGAGATCTGATTCCTACATCTCACCCCAAGAGAGTCTTTTGAAAACCCCCAATCATGAGCTCTCATTCCCTTGACGTATGCTTTCTCACCATCCCACCCTGCCCTGGGTAAGTTTCTAGTCTTTACCTTATGGCTTAAGGGGTGCCCAAGACGTCAGAGGTGGGCAACAGCTACGCTACCTTTGTTCACTGGGATCACCAGCCCTTCTGTTCAAGTCCTCCGAGCACACCCCATGCTGGTCTTCACATCAGCTGTCTGTGCCTGAGTTGGGGGTCGGGGGAAGTCCTACTTCTAATCCCCCCTCCTCCACCTCCACATGGCCAGCTCCTTGTTTCCTTAAGTTCCATGTAAAGATGTTTCTCACTATTCGAACTGCCTAGTTTGGCCTGGGAACTCACTGCACCATCTTGCTTGCTTCCTTTCACGCACTTAGCTCTATTGTTGTTGAAGCAAGGCTGCCCCTATAATATTCTGTCATCTCTGGTGCTCAGGATGGTGGGTGCTCCCAGCACATGGTAAGCGCTGGCATATTTGTGGAGTAGGATGGAGCACCAGAACCAAAAGCCAACTTGGGCTCTAAGCTCAGTGCCGTGTCAGAGTCAGGTGGGACCCTGGGGTGGTGGCCCAGCCCTGACCCTTCTGGGTGCTTGGGGGTTAGGGGTCCTGTGGTCTTGAACATGTGTGCATTCTGGAATGGGAAGAAGGTTGGACCCCAAGCTCTATCCCTCAGTGGCTGTGACTCGGGCAAGTCATCCCCAGGAGTCCTAAGAACACAGACACCTCTACTAAGGCTTAGGATTGCCAGGAAGGTTAGTGGCAGCCCATGGAGTCCCTCCTAGCTGGTACACACCTTCCTTCTCCCCCATCCCACACTGAGTTTTCCCAGGTAGGGTGTTACCTGGAGCCACTTGCCCAGGCGGTTGGGGTCCTCGTAGACAGATGCCATCTGGAAGTTACTCCTCTCGCTCAGCTCCACCACTGTGTCCACAAAACCTTGGAGCTGCAGCTCTCTGCCGAGGAAGAGAAGCCAGTTCTAGGAAGGCCCTCAAGGTTCCCTGCACTGGTCATGATCTCCCTGCTCTGGGAAGGAGAATGCCTCCTTCCAACCAGGAGAAATCCCACCTCTGCCTGTAAGGTAGACAGGGCAGCTGCCTGCCCCCCACCCCCCGCCCCCACTGCTCCCGGAGCCCACCTGGTCTACCAGGCATGACTCAGCTTAGCCTGTGACACAGCCAGGGCCAAAGTGCCACGTCAGCTCCTACCCTGGTGGCCTTGTCTTGTTCTACCTTTTAGTCACATTCCACATGGTCCCTTTTACCCTCACCCCAGGCAACGTGGGAACTCCCCCCTCAGCTCACCCACAGGCATAGGCTGATTCTTCTTTCAATGGGTCTCCATTTACTACACACACACACCCCCCCCCAAGCCAAAAAATTGGGTTCTATCTTGAGATGGCCAACAGGGTTGTCACATTCCTATGTGTGTCATGGGTTCAGTCTTAAACTCTGAGACCTTGGGCTGATGGATCACAAGGGCCATCCCTTCCTTAAAGACAAAGGGACATTTGAGGCTGGTGTTAAGGATCTGTTTATAAGATGGGTGGTCTTAAGAGTTGAATCAACAAGGTCATACTGGCTCAGCACCCATAGCACAGTGGTTACAGTGCCAGCTACATGCACTGAGAATGGCGGGTTCAAACCCAGCCTGGGCCTGCTAAACAACAACTGCAACCAAAAAATAGTCAGGCATTGTGGCGGGTGCCTGTAGTCCCAGCTACTCGGGAGGCTGATGCAAGAGAATCGCTTAAGTCCAAGAGTTTGAGGTTGCTGTGAGACCACGGCACTCTACCATAGTGAGACTGTCTCAAAACACACACACAAGGTCATACTATTGGAAAAAGTCAAAATTGGCATTTTAGTTCAGATCTAGCCCCAAAGCTCACAATGCTATTCTGTCAGCAGCAGAATAACTACCTGTATTGTTCATAGCATCCTATGCTACTGGCCAAAAGAATCTATTTCTTGGGTCTGTGCAGACAAGCTAAGGGGACCCAGCCATCCTGACAAGGTCACGGGCTAAGGACGTTTACTGGGGAAAGGGTGTATAGCCCAGACTTGCAGGTTATGGCTAAGCTGTATCAGGCCATAACTGAATATGGATGACTCAGGTTTCTTTGAAGAACAAGTGTCTGCCTTCTTCTGGGACAGCAACCTGTTTTCAGATACACTTACCAGATCTGGTTTTTATATCTGTCAGTAAAATCCTATTAGCTCTTCCCTGAGATTTGACCTTCTCATCCTGAAATCGCACATTCCTCTGAGGTCTCTAGGACCTCACTCTTCAATGGCCCTCCCACAGGGACCTGTCTGTACCTTGCTGGGGCTGGAGGAAAGGTAGGTTTTTACCACTTGTGACTGGGTCCAGGACATCATCCTAACATGCTGGCTTTTTTTTTTTTTTTTTTT